CATTAGCGTATGCGACAATGGTTAATTAAATTACTCGTTCTCAGATTAAAGTCAAAATGCTTTTCTGAAAAATATACAGGTTAAATATCCTTTACTTATTCCTTCGAAATTAAACTATTACCTATTTAATAAAACAAATAAAAGCAGAGCACAACAGCCTTGATGAACACAAATTTACTAGTTTAAAATAGTGCCAGGTCGTCCTCGAAGCAAGTCAATTATGCATCGTCTATCTCATGTTTGCCCGAAATCTCGTTTCCTTTTTTGTATGAGCATCATTTATCTATTTGCTTTTTCTTCATTGTACATCCAACTTCCTGGTAGGTATTCTCTTTAGTTGCTAAGTGATAGGTCTTTATGGAGAAAATGGAATTACCCCGGTCCACTTGCTTCACTTTTCCCGTAATGTTCAATATATTATTATCTTGCCTATTTAGTCCCCAAAGATGGAGCTGATTTCCTACATAATCCTTCTATCCTTCGGTTTTCCGAACTCTTCGGATTGAACACTTACTACATGATGGAGTTACTGATTATCTTAGGTGTACTCCTTTCATTTATGGCATTCTTTTCTGAGTCATTTCGCACAATGACGGTGTATTTCGCTTTGTGGATTTTTTATCTGTCTGTTTTCAAGGTAATTTCGTTACTAACTTTTATCCTTAGGCTGGTCAAGTCTTCCTTTGGTTCCAATGGGATATACTCCTATTAGAAGCTGGGGCCTTGACGGTGCTACTAGCTGGCGTAGATATGATAATTTTCCGTTTTCCTTCATATACAGCAAGTGATGGCATATCTCTCTGGTTGATTCGGTGGCTATTATTTCGGCTTATGTTTGCATCAGGTGTTGTTAAGTTGACTAGCAAATGTCCCTTGTGGTGGGGTCTTAGCGCTCTTGATTGGCACTTTCAGTCTCAGGTAATTATGTATTAGTATATTTTATTGTTCAAGTGCATTCCGACACCTGCAGCATATTATTTCCACTATTTGCCAAAGTGGCTGCTTCATCTTGCTGTCGCCGTTACTCTTATTCTCGAAATAATATTCCCTTTCCTTTTCTTTTTACCACTTCGAGGGATACGGATTTTCTCATTCTACTCACAAGTGACTTGCATTTAATTCATATATTTTTATGGTAGATTATGTTGCAGCTTCTAATTATAATTACTGGGAATTACAATTTCTTTAATCTCTTGACGATTGTCTTGTGCTATTCATTGCTAACTGATTACGAGTTTCCTCTAAGTGAGTAATAATCTTTTTCCCGAATTCGTATTATGTTATATTTTATTAAGCCTTATGATCTCGATATTCTTCTTTTTAGGACGAAGATCTTTCAGGGGCTCTGGGTGGGGGCTAGACTTCCTGACCTCTCTAGGAATATTATTGTCTCTGTTTTACCTTAGTGGCAAGCTATTCGGTATATTTATGCAGGCGGATGGCTCTGTTTTCACTAAAATTGGTAAATTTTATCGTTTATTCTCATCCATATTAACCTATAAATGTAATCTTAACTAGGGCTTTTTTAATCATTAAAATACCATTTTAGATAGCCTATACCTATTTTAGCTGGCTAGACTTCTTCAAATTATTACGCCCTACTGA